AAAATCAAATAGCATGAATTTCCATTGTAAAATTGTGTCAGAAAATTGGACTTAGAAATAAAATACAAGAAAATAGTTTCTCAAATGTGGTGCTTAAAGACCACTTGGAATCAACCAGCTGGATGTAACTAAAGAACCACTTAGGCCGATTTCTAGTTTGGACAACAAGATGTTTAGATTAGTTGTTGGAGGTCTCGTGCATCTCTGACCTGAGGTTCTTAACGTCTGCAGTCTGCCTTCTATTTTAAACGATTGTTCCAGAAATTCTGTTGTGAAAGCATGTGGTCCTGCTGATAAAGGTTAACTGCACACAGGGATGCCTTTACATAGTTGCTTCTGTATTCAAAGTAGATAAGATCAATATTTTAATTTCTCTTTATTTTGAAAAATTTAAAGAAAAATAGAAAACTATAAACACATATCCATCTGCCAGAAAGAACAGGTCTTAGTTTTGTCATATATGCCTTGTATTTTTTGAAATAAATTGAAGCCTGTTGGTATTTATAGTAAAAGTTACATTGTATACACACATACATGAAATTATCATTTAATCCTTATAACATTCCATTGACATGTAATCATTTCTCATTCTCATTTAATAGGTAAGAAAACTGATGATGTGGTAGATTAACTGGTCCACTGTCAGACAGTAGCAAGTGTTTAAATAGGATTGCAATCTTGGTCTGTTGGAATATTAGGTTCTAGACTCCCATTCTAGGTTGACTGTCACTAAATTCATGGGTAAGATGGGATTACTCTGGTGTTAATACAATATATTTTTAGTGCATTTTAAGTACTTTTAATTAACATAAAATGCTTCGTTTGAAATATTGGAAGTATCTGTAAAGACCTGAATGGGTGTGCATGTGTAAAGAAGGGAATGAGCAGGAGAAGAGTTCTCCAGTCATGGCTCTGGGGACTTTCAGTTGAGGCTGTAAGAGTTCCTCACCCAGAGACATGCTTCCTCCTTCATCACTGTGGTAGAAGTATCTCCTCTGGACATCTCTGAAAGCTCAGCTGGAGTAATCAGGATTCAGACCCCGTCTCCTGGCAGCTTGTGGTTCTGCATTAACTGTGTAACTTCTGTGGAAGGACAAATGACTTAGATGGACGGCTGTGTCATCCCTCCTCCTGCGTTTTATACTGTTCACATGTCTTTTAATGGGAAGTTTTCACAAAGAAAAATGCCCAAGTAACTTGGGTGGTTTCTTTTTGTTTTGTTTTGTTTTTTGTTTATTTATTTATTTATTCGTCAGAGAGAGAGAGAGCACAAGCAGGGGGAGCGGCAGGCAGAGCAGGTAGAGGGAGAAGCAGGCTCTCTGCCAAGCAAGGAGCCCAATGTGGGACTCCATCCCAGGACCCTGGGATCATGACCTGAGCCGAAGGCAGACGCTTCACCGACTGAGCCACCCAGGCGTCCCTAACTTGGGTAGTTTTTAGAAAGCACTGTTAAGTTAAAATAATGCCACTTTGCAGTTAGAGAAAAGCATGGAAACATAATTGATTTTGTGGGGGGTACTGCAACCCAATGTAGGGGTCCCCCAAGATTTCTAGTCGCCGTCACAGAACCCTCGCTCTTCCCTGCTTGTGTCGCCCTATTCTTGCTTTGCCTTGCAGCAATTACTTGCTTTGTGACCCTGGACAAATTACTTAGCCTTCCTGCCCCTCAGTTTGTTTATTTGTTGAAGAACTATGTGTACCTGATCTCACAGTTGTTAATGAAGGTAGTTAACTAGGACTTAGAACAACAGTCCTTGTCAGAATGTAATAAACATGGCCAGTTAAACCGATTTCCCACAGCTGGAAGGTGAGACTTGAAACAAGTTTTTAAAAAACAAATTGTGTTTTAAGAATGTGTGTATCATCCAAGTCCTTATTTGGTCTGTGCTGGGTGCAGCGTTAGGGTATGAGTTCTTTTGAATTTTAGATAATTGCATTAGGCTTGGCACTGTGACAATAGATGATGAACAAGTGCTCTAACATGTCAAAATAAGGATTATTGTATTCTGTTAAAAGCAGTTGTGGAGGTTTTTAATGAGTCTCTGTGTGAGAAAGTATCTTTACAGATACTTCCATCAAGTTCACCTCTCCCAGTCTCCAAAGTTGTGCATGCTGAATTTTAGTGTAATAACACTGGCTGAGTTCTTCATAAATTTATTAACCTTGGGGACTGTGTTCACCTACCCATGGGCAAAGAACAGACTGGTCCATTCTTCATAGCTGTCCCTTCGTTTTACTAGTTGAAACATTAGGCTAGGTCAGATCCATTTCTTCTCCCAATTTGTATACAATTAGAATGTTGTGTCAGCCATAGTTAACGGCAAGGGATTACCATGGATTTATGCACGTTTTGTTTTGCCTTGGTACAACTCCTAGTTAAGATCTATGACTAAAATATATACAGAGGAAAGTAAACTTCACAGTTGTGAGTTTGAATGATCCAGCCTCCTCTTCACAAATATACTTTACTGGGGACTACTTTTTTTTTTTTCATTCAAAAGAAAAGCCTTCCCTAGGGGTGCCTGGCTGGCTCAGTCGGTTGAACGTGGGATTCATGATCTCAGGGTCATGAGTTTAAGCCCCACATTGGGTGTGGAGCCTACATAAAATAAAAATTAAGAAATTTTTAATTAAACGTCTTCCCAGGGGCGCCTGGGTGGCTCGCCATCGGTTAAGCGGCTGCCTTTGGCTCAGGTCATGATCCCAGGGTCCTGGGATCGAGCCCCACGTCAGGATCCCTGCTCAGCGGGGAGCATGCTTCTTCCTCTCCCTCTCCCTGCTGTTCTGCCTACTTGTGCTCTCTCTGTCAGGTAAATAAAATCTTTAAAAAAAAAAAAGGTCTTCCCAGACTGATGGATAGTGAACATATGCAAGATACATGCTTGGGGCTTGGGGTTGTGACCAGTTGTCCCATAAGAATGCATCCTGTCCTGGAACATGATGGCCAACCAGAATGGAGGAAAAGAAAAAGTGGAGTTTGTGAAAGGAAGGGAGAATGGAGGGAAAGTAGGAAGGGCAAAGAAAAAGTGTGAGTCCTGTGAAGAGTTAAAGATGTGGGGGAGGCAAAAACAAAAGGTGACTGGCACTGGGAAGGAATCAGCAATGCCAAATTCTCCTCTCCTTTTTAAAGACAACACTGAAAATAATAAGGCCTTTGTCCTCCGGGGGGAAATAAAAGCTGGTAATGGGGTTGCCACTATGTCGTGTGTAGGTGAAGGTATCCCTACTTTATACATAACACATAGTTTGTGACTTGCTTGTTGGTCACCCAGCTAGTGTGGCAGAGCCTAATTTTAAATCCAGGTCTTTTCTTTCCAGTATCATGCAGCATGGCTTGTTTATGTTTTTGAGGGGGCAGAACACAAGGGAAGATGTTGGTACCAACAAAGCAATATAGGCAGCAGAAGGGGAGCGTATGCTGATGGGGAAATAAGCTCCAGTTCCTGCAGTTCCTTCCCACACTGTTCCTCACGTGGATGTAAGCTTTCTCTGATGCTCTGGCTGGACCTTGCATCTCCGCTTCTCAAGTGTAGGAAATGCTTAGTGTCGTCTAAAAAAAAAAAGCCAACCTCCAAGTAGGTTAGTAAATGCATTATTTGTCTTACTGAGGACTATGGCCCAGGAAACAGTATTTCAGATTGCTCAGAACTGCTTTGAAACTTAGCTTCACAGGGGTTATATACGCAAAAGTGGGAAGGGGTAGATGTGCTTGCAAGCAGTTTCTCTAATTGTGTCACAAGGTACAATCAGTTCCATTGTAAAAATTTAGCTTCACTGATTTCCACATAGACATGTGAAAAACCCTTGGGTCATCTTAATACATTGTGTTTCTATCATATTTGTTAAAAAAAATATTGCCTGCAGACCTCTGCCTAACTGGTTTCCACTTCTTGTTTTTGGTTTCTGCTTGAGGTCACCTCAGGTAGTCACAGAAGGCTGACATCTTAGGCCTTTAGCCTATTTTAAGGCACTGCTGTTTTCATGCACACTACCATTTCCATATTAGCAGGCATCTCAAGCATCTCAAACTTGTCCAAAACTGAACAGATCTTAACCACCCCCCATTCTCTCAGAAATTGCAACTCTAACCTTTCAGTTGCTCAGCTGAAAACTTTTGGGTCATTGGATCTTTTTTCCTAACACACATCTATTGACAAGATCTAGAATCCAACCCTTCTCACTAGCTGCAGTCATACTATCCTCGTCCAAACCACTATCATTCCTCCAAAGTTACTAAAATGTTCAGAGCCCGCGGCCGATTTCAGCTACCATCGCTCAACCCGTTTTCTCATGCAGTCCCAGAAACATACGGATGGGTTTCCACCTCAGGGCCTTAGCCCTTGAGGTTCCCTTTGCCTCGGGAGGATTTGCCCTGGGTATAAGTATGGTTAACTCCCTTCCTTATTCCGGTTATGGCTCAACTGTCAGTGAGGACTCCTCGGACTACACTGTTAACCTGGGACCATGTTCCCCTTCCATGCTTAATTTTTCTCTATTTGCACTATCACCATGTGATACAGTATGTTTTTCTCGATAAATATATTCATAGAAGAATTCCACGGGGGGCAGGGATTAGTTTTTAATTGCTATTTACTCAGTGCTTAGAACTGTATCAGGCTCAAAGCAGGTGCCCAATAATACTTGTTGCATGAACAGGAGCCGCAGAGCAGTCCCAGAAAACTCTTGCACCGCAAGGTTCTGGCGTAGTTGCCGCTGCTGCGATCAGTCCTTCATGCCAACCTTAGAGACATAATACACAAAATTTAAGCTCCTAAGATCCCGGGTCGACGGCTACCCGGCCGAACGGAGATCACTTTTCCCGCGTTTTTGTGAATAACAGCGGAGAGTGGGGCAAGAGGCTCCTTCTCGCAGCTTCATCAGCTTCTGGGACGCCCGGCCCCCGAGCGCCCTGCTCCAGCGACCGACGCTCGCAGCAACCGGAACGTTAGTGCGTCGCCGCCGCGCGCAGGGGAAGGACTTCCGCCGAGGCCTTGGAGCCGACTGGACGGAGCTTCCGGGTAGAGCGGCGTCCTACGAGACCGGTGAGTCCGCGGGTAGAGCTTCTCGCGGAGCGAAGGTGGGGACCGACCGTCTGGGGAGCACGGCAGCAAGGAGGGGCCTTCGCGGCGCGACGGGGGGTGAGGGCGGAGGCTGAAGGGGGCCGACCAGCCTCTTGTGCTTTGTGGATTGAGGGTGGGAGGGAGCGTGTGAAGGGGTAGAAGGGCAACTTCCGTCTCTTAGCTGCATAGAACCATCTAGGGCTGCAGTCCAGGGAATGGCTCTCCTTCGCTAAAGCGGAACGCGAGTTACGGGAATTGCGGTCTTGGGTTCGAGTTTGATTGCCTCCAGCTGTGTGACCTCGAGAGCGTTACGGGCCTTTTGAGCCTCGAGTTCCATGTATGAAAACAGGATAGTGATCACCCATGCCTAGTAGCGCTTGGCAGGGTAAGGTGTGAATAAAAGCTTCATAAATTGCGATGTTTGGTGCAGATCTCGTTTGTTTGCAGTAGCATTCTGAGCTCATGTGACAGGAATCACACCAACAGGCTGACGCTAGGCACAGTGGCTTTTCTGGAGTTGGAGTTTCAGGAAACGGATCAGCTTTTGGAGATACGGACCTAAGAGGTCACCAACTACATCTTTCTCCAGGATGCATAACTTCCTTCTCTATTAGTAACATGCATTATAAACTTCCAGCTTCCCTTGGAACATCTGTAGTTATGGGAGCTTAATACCTCTGTCCTATCCCTGTAATTTCCCATTGCAGTCAGCTCTAATTAGGAAGTCCTTGGATGTTGTGAGCCAGAAGTGTTCCTCTTTGCAGTTTCTGCTCATCAGTTCTCACTGTGTTTCTGAACTTTAAGAAAATTAAAAGTAATAAACTAAGAATAAAATACTGTAAATATTGATATGATGAATGGCAGTAGTGACTTTGTAAGAATTTAAAAACATCAAGAACACTATGTAAGCTTTGATTTTTGTAATTCACAGTAAATACAGAATTTTGTAATTCACAGTAAATACAGAAACTTTCATGGAGGATCAAAAAGTTCATTTAATCACCATATCCTCTGAGTGCAGGCACTCATCATTAAACTTACAAGCACCAGCACAGTGTGTTGAAATAACACAAATGTTAGAATTAAGTCACTTGTCATTACTTCAGGCAATCTACCGAAGTATATAGTAAAGTAGATCACCAGATTTCCTGAAACAGATTTCTTCCAATGCCAGGGAATGGTTTGTTAATTCATTGAGAGATACAGAACTTTAGCAAATAATACCTGATTATAGCAGGTGCCACAGAAAGCAGTGATGCCATGAAAGCAGTCTCCAACTTGTTAATAGAGTTTCATTCCAAAAGTCCATTTATAAGTCAGTTCTTTAGATTTTAAAATCTATTTTTCTATAGAAAACCACGATGTAGGTGGCAGGTAAGGTCTTGCTTATGGTCCTTATTACAGAAATTAATTTTTCCTCCTGTCAGTGATGGGGTTTGTTTTGTCCTTAATGTCTTCTTGGCCCTTACGATTCCTTTGATCATATATGGAAGAAGGAAGCTGAAGGAAGTGAGAGCATAGGATGGGGAGGGAGATTCCATTTGGGATGATGGAAGTGTAGATGTGACTAGAATGTTTATTACTTGGCTCTGGTTAATAGATTTCCCCCACCACCAGTTTTATCCCTGATTATTAAAGAAATACATGTTCATATGAAAAATATGAAAATACAGAAAGTAATAAAACAAAAAACCAATCACCCTTCATCTAGATGAAACCATGTTGTATTGAATTACTGAACATTTCCTTTTTCTTTTTTTAATAGTTGAGATCATAATAGTTGTTAATAGTTGAGCCACCCAGGTGCCCCAGATTTTTTTTTTTTTATTATAAGAAAATTCACACATATACAAAGGTGGACAGGTAGTACAGTGAATCACCATGATCCATCACCCAGCTGTAATAATAACCATCATTTGTAGCTAATCTTGTTTCATCTATATCTTTACTCACTTTCCATAGTTCTGTGGTCTTGTCCTATGACTATAATGCATTTTTGTTTTTAAAAATTGTAAAAAGAGGGCACCTGGGTGGCTCAGTCGTTAAGCATCTGCCTTCGGCTCAGGTCATGGTCCTAGGGTCCTGGGATCGAGCCCTACATCAGGCTCCCTGCTCGGCGGGAAGCCTGCTTCTCCCTCTCCCACTCCCCCTGCCTGTGTTCCCTCTCTCGCTGTCTCTCTCTGTCAAATAAATAAACAAAATCTTTAAAAAAAAATTGTAAAAAGAGAGGCTCCTGGGTGGCTCAATCATTAAGTGTCTGCCTTTGGCTCAGGTCATGATCCCAGGGTCCTGGGATCGAGTCCCACTTCGGGCTCCTTGCTCAGTGGGGAGCCTGCCGGTCCCCCCAGTTTGTGCGCTTGCTCTCTCTCTCTCTCTGACAAATAAATAAAAATCTTTAAAACAACTTTAAAAAGGTTTGTAAAAAGATGCTTCTCTCTCTTAGTGCCAAACTTTTGCGTAAACGTTTATATTTTTTCTAACGGACGGGAAAAAGAGTTCCATGAGGATTTTGTGAGGTATTTTCGTTCAACAACAATTATTGAATAAATTGCAAAGAATTAGATGACCTTGCATTCTCTGTTTTTTACTTTGTATGTTTGCTTCCCTCTCTTTACTTTTCACATTTAAACGTATGAATTTTGGGGCGCCTGGGTGGCTCAGTTGGTTAAGCAACTGCCTTCGGCTCAGGTCATGATCCTGGAGTCCCGGGATCGAGTCCCACATCGGGCTCCCTGCTCTGCGGGGAGTCTGCTTCTCCCTCTGACCCTCTTCCCTCTCGTGTTCTCTATCTCTCATTCTCTCTCTCTCAAATAAATAATAAAATAAAATCTTTAAAAAAAAAGTATGAATTTTGTGCCAGATATTTTTAGAAAATTCACACTCAGTGACTTTTACAGGATACTGAATAATACATTTAAGGAAAAAATGGATGAAGAACCTGAAAGAACTAAGCGATGGGAAGGAGGCTATGAAAGGACATGGTGAGTAGGGCATTATTCTCGTTTACACATTGTTTCTTACTGTTCTTCTACACCTTTATCTCTCTCCTCGTTCAGTGATTGGTTTTTTAAATTTATTAAAGTATATTTAACGCATGTTAAAATTCACCTGTTTCCAACTTATAATTCATTGATTTTTAGAAGATTTACTGAGTTGTGCAGTCATCACCATAAATCAGTTTTAGAAAATTTTACCACCCCATTAAGATCCTTCATATCCAGGGATGCCTGGGTGGCTCAGTCTGTTAAGCGTCTGCCTTTGGCTCAGGTCATGATCCCAGGGTCCTGGGATCGAGCCCCGCATCGGGCTCCCTGCTCAGCGGGTAGCCGCCTTCTGTCTCTCCCTCTGCCTGCCTGTCTGCCTACTTGTGATCTCTCTCTTTCTCTTGCTGTCAAATAAATAAAATCTTAAAAAAAAAAAAAAGATACTTCATGCCCATTTGTGATTAACTTCATTCCTACCTCCAGCTGTAGGCAACTGCTAATCTACTTTTTGTCTCTATGCATTTGCCTTTTTGGGTATTTCATGTAAATGTAATCTTATAATATGTGGTCAGTATTGTCTCGCTTCTTTCATATAACAGTATTTTCAAGGTTCATCCATGTTGTAGCAGGGATCAGTAATGCATTCCTTTTTATTACTTAATAGCATTATATTGTATACCATGTTTTCATTCATTCATTTGTCAATTGATGGACATTTAGATTGATTATACTTTTTGGCTTTTATGAATAATGCAGCTGTGAACATTCATGTGCAGATCTCTGTGTGGACATATGTTTTCATTTCTTTTGGGTTAATAAAATTTTAGCTTTTCAGACAAGTAAATATTGCTTATAGGGAGATTCTTAAAGAAGATGAATCAGGATCACTTAAAGCTACGATAGAAGACATTCTCTTCAAAGCAAAGAGAAAAAGGTATGTAAACTTTTTGTAGGTGTGTTACTAAAGATAAAATAGATTCCTTTAAGCCTTTCTGTCCACCTATCCCCACTCCTCAGTACTTCATTTCAGCTGTATTCTAGAGAAACTGACCTTTAAACTCTTGAGTAGGGGGAAGAAAACAGCAACCTAGCACTTCAGAAGGGAAATGGGTCTTCAGGGACTGTCCAAAATGCCTGTAGTTATGTGAACCCCATAAGTTGATAATTTACTTCACTAGAAAATGTAGGTTAGTTGAAAAGTTATATTGATTTTTTGGGTAATAGAGGACATTCCATTAAAATGTTTGCATAATTTTAACAGAGTATTTGAGCACCATGGACAAGTTCGACTTGGAATGGTATGTTGACATTTTTTTTCTTTACCAGTACAGAACTAGTTGGGTTAGAGAAGCATTCTGTCTTGACAGAATTAATAATAGTAAGACAACAAATATTTTAGAAGAATATATTAAAAATATATGTGTATGGGCGCCTGGGTGGCTCATGGTTAGGCGTCTGCCTTCGGCTCAGGTCATGATCCTGGAGTCCCAGAATAGAGCCCCACATCGGGCTTCCTTCTCAGCGGGGAGTCTGCTTCTCCCTCTCCCTCTGTCATTCCCTCCACTTGTGCTCTCTGGCTCTCTCTGTGTCAAATAAATAAATAAAATCTTAAAAAAATATATATACATATATATGTGTAGAATATGTAAATACTAAATGCCATTTTTACTTCTTGGTCAAAAATTGAATTTGAAAATTGTTATATTTGTGGTTTATTTTTGGTAGATGCGTCATCTTTATGTGGTAGTAGATGGATCAAGAACAATGGAAGACCAAGATTTAAAGCCAAATAGACTGACTTGTACTTTAAAGGTATAGTAAAATCATTTTAATTTATACTAAATGTGAGAAAGGACGCTGAATTCTAAAAAAAAAATTTTTTTTTACTATAACACCTTTATTAAGATATAATTCACATACCATAAAATCAACTTACTTAAAATATACTGTTAAAATTTTTTGCCTGTTACAGAGTTGTACAACATTATTACCACAGTCAGTTTTAGAGCATTTTTATCATCACAAAAAGAAAACCCAGGGGTACCTGACTGGCTCGGTCAGAGGAGTGTGACTCTTGGTCTCAGGGTTGTGAATTTGAGCCCCATGTTGCGTGCAGAAATTACTTAAATAAATAAAACTTAAAAAAAAAAAAAAGAAAGGAAAACAGAAGCAAATTTTCTGTAGTTTTGCCAAACAGTATTCTATTGTATACAACTTTGGGTTGTTTCCACTTTTGGGGGCCTTTTATGAATAATGCTGCTGGGAATATCTGTGAACAGGTTTTTATGTGGAGGATGTTTTCTCTTCTAAAGCTTGATTTTAGCCTGGGTAGTTTATGTTTTATCCACTTTTCTGTGGCCTAAGCATAGCAGCTGGGATGAAATGGTGTGCACCAAAGGGGTGAAGCTCAGCTTGGGTGGTGTGCAGATTCTGCTGGATTTACAGGGCTTCATTTTATCTTCTGAGATTTTATTAACTGTCCTATATCTTGTTTAACTAACTGGGCAGGGGAGGGAGGATATAATGCATTTCCATGAGGAGATATTCTCAGCTTTGGAACTCTTTTCCTCAATTAAGTGTGAAGCTTGGATTCTTCTCTTCTGAAAGGAAGGTTAGTTCTTAATTTCTTTCCCTATTCATTCATAACTTCTGGTAGAAGAGGAGAAAGATAACAGTACTCTCTTCACTTCTTTCCAAAAGCAAGAAAGAGTATTAGCGAAATTTCCCAGGACCTTTTTCAGTCAGGAATGGGGCTTCAGAGGAGTAGGCTGAAGTAGATGCTGAATCATACTGCTGGACTCAATTCTGCTCCAGAATCCTCCGCTCCTTTTCTTGTACATGAGTTTTCTAAATTTACTAGATTGGATTTGTCCTTTATCTTCTCTATTGGTGAATGTGTGTGTATTTATTACAGTACTGATCCACTCTCCACAGTTGAATGTCCACAGCATTCTCTCTTTAACACACTCCAGTTGGAATGGTACCTTCACAACTACGTTTTCAAGGTCCACCATACCTCCAGGATGTGAAACTCAACTCCTTTTTATCTTTAGTAGCAACTGAAATAGTTGACACTTAATCCTTCCTGAAAGGCATTCTTCTTTTGTTCTTTTTGTTTGTTTTTGTTTGTGTGTGTGTATATGTGTTTTTTTTTTTAAGAACTCTGTACCCCTGATGTGGGGCTCGAACCCACAACCCCATGATCAAGATTCCCACACTCTAAGGACTGAGCTAGTCAGGCACCCCACACATCCTTCTTTTGACTTTGATTATATAGAGTCTTTTTATTTCGTCTTAGGCTCCCCTCTCCCACTTTAGAATGCTGGAATGCCCTAGGACTTGGTCATAGTTCTTTTTTTCTGTCTACTCTCTTCCCTTGAGTAAATATTATACCTTCCCATGAAGAAATTTTTTTAAAGAATGCATTTTTTTGAGTTTATACAAACTATAGCTAAGTAGAAGTTTAATCACATCGTTTAGGAAAACGATACAACAAAATGACTAATATTTATGCTCTTAATTTCTGTCCTCCCACCCCAGTCAGCGTCTTGCTTTGTCAATTATCCCTTTTCATTGTCTTTGGACTTACTCAGATCATTCCGCCCAGTTTATAAACACATTCAGATTATTCGTAATTTATTAAAACCCATCCTCGGTTATGCTCATTCTCTTGTTTCTGGCTTCATAGGATCTTTCCATGTTTAGATTACATCTGTCTCACAAGTCCATATGGTTCCATCTTTTATTTTTCTTTTTCGAAGATTTATTTATTAGAGCGCATGCGCCAGGGTGTGGGGGTGGGGCCGACAGAATCTCCAGCAGACTCCCCACTGAGCACTGAACCTGACTTGGGGCTCAGTCTCATGACCCTGAGATTACTACCTGAGCCAAAATCAAGAGTCAGACCCTTAACCAACTGAGTAACCCAGTGCCCTGGTTCTATCTGTTAAACGCAGTTCATCACTTACCATTTTAAATTCAGGCTTATTTAATACTGTGATTTTTATTTATTTGAATATTTTAAAATTTATTTTTGTTTAATATTTTTACTAAGATATTTGAAAATATTTTACTAAATATATTTGAAAATTATGAGCCTAATAATCTCATGAGAAGTGATGCTTGATAAATAGGTTTCACAAAACATTTCTTTATGGTTATTATTTTGCCCTTATCTAGTATTTTTGTTTTCTTTAAACAGTTATTGGAATACTTCGTAGAAGAATATTTTGATCAAAATCCTATTAGTCAGGTATGTAGATAAGTGATGGAATTCAGAATTAGATTCCTGCTATTACTGCCAATTCTAATTTATTAAAACGTTGGGCATACATTCTGTGAATTATTAAGTGATCCAGATTGTGTACCAGTTTCTGGTACATTTATCAGTGACAAGCAAGGCAACTCTAAAAGTTAAATAATGTACAGTAAACTCTAGCTAAATTTCTGTCAAAAGCATCATGAGAAAAAGTTTCTCGTATGTTACTTATGTCTTTTGTAATTACTGATTTATTTTCATGTACATTCTTACGAAGAAGAAGTAATTTGTTAAGTTAATAATCATTTTTGTTTTTATTTTGAGATTGGAATAATTGTAACAAAGAGTAAAAGAGCTGAAAAACTGACCGAACTCTCAGGTATGCATAAAATTACCTTTATAGGACTCAAGGACTTGGCTCTATTTACTCAACCTTGTAACCCTGTTCATAAGGTTGCCTAATAAGTAAAATGAAGACTTCTTTTATGCTCTCCATGTGAAACACTTAATAACCCCTCGATTAAATCCTCCAGTAAACTCTTGGTATCTAAGACGAACTGTTTTAAATTGAGTTCTGTACGGTAATGAATACTACTGCAATGAATGTAAATGTTTATTTAAGACTTACACATTCTTATCCTGAAAGTATTAAGATAAAATTACTGTAACCATTCCAAAAATCCACTTAGTCTTAAAATTAATTTTTTAGAAGTTAAGCCTCTAAAGAGCAAAGGATTTAAAAATTGAATTGCAGTTATTATTAATATTTCAGTTTTTCTGCTTACACGACATGCCTAACTGAATTTTATTCTCTTAAAATATAGTGCAGGTTTTATTAGCTTTGGTGCTGTTTTGACAAATTCACATCACTAATTCTGTTTTAATTTCTGTGAAATACACTATCCCTTAAATGTGGTTCTCATCCTTTCATCCTTACCAATACAGATAAATTTGAAATGACATTATTTTCATCATGAATAGTTTTTCACTATGGCAGTAAGGAGTGAAATTTATGTTAGCCTGGAGTGATCAAGAAATTCAGTTATGAGTAACCAAAAAAAATCTCAAGCTAGCTTTAGCATACAAGGAAAATTATTGACTCCCATCTAAAGGAGGGCTGATTTCACACATGGTAGTTTCCAGGGTTCCTGGCTCTGTTTGGCTTCATTCTCTTAAGTGAGGTGAAAAGATGTCTGTTACTAGCCCTGAGTCTCCATGACCCTCATAGTCTGTAGCTTCAGCACAAGTCCCACAGAGGTCTCGGAATGACCCTGCTTCTGATCTGCCCGCCCATGAGCAAAGTGGCCAGAGGAATGCAGTATTGTGTTGGTAGGCCTGGATTACATGCCTGTTCCTGGAGCAGGATGGAAGCAGGGTAAGCAGCTCGTTTGTTATCCTGTGAGGACAGAATGGTTTCCCCCAGGAAGGGACGTAGGACCAACCCTCTTGGCACCTTTCTCACATTCAGAGTAGTTTTCTAGGGGTGCCAGAGAAGTCATATGTATAGGGATGAAAAATCCTCTGGATATTTTGATAGGCCTCTTGACAGCACTCCTTGTCTGTCTGATCAGAATCACTGCTGTAAACCACACTGACAGTAATCGAGTTCACTTTTTTCCTATACTCACAATACAATAGGAGGTGAACGAACTATTTTGTATGGTATGGTAGAAAGAGAAGTGGATAGAGAGCCAGGAGATGTAGGTTTAAGTGCTGGTCCTGCCACTGGGTAGGTATTTGTCTTTAGGCAAATCTGTTAGCTTGTTAGATTCATTTCTCACTTATGAGGGATTTGGACTTAGTGATGTACTTTTCATTTCTTTTTTTTTTTTTAAGGGAATCTTTTTTTTTTTAAAGATTTTTTATTTATTTATTTGAGAGAGAGAGAATGAGAGAGAGCACGAGAGGGAAGAGGGTCAGAGGGAGAAGCAGACTCCCCGCCGAGCAGGGAGCCCGATGTGGGACTCGATCCTGGGACTCCAGGATCATGACCTGAGCCGAAGGCAGTCGCTTAACCAACTGAGCCACCCAGGCGCCCTGTACTTTTCATTTCTAAAATCTTAGGATTCTGAGACTAAATAAGTACTTGAAATATGTATTAAATAATGGCAAATGCTTAGTATTTTAAAACTTACTCAGATAAATAAGAACACGAAGAAGCTATAAGTAGACGAATGGACGAAGACAACAGATAATTCATACCAGAATAAAAAGAGAAACAAAATAGCTATTAAAAAAGAAATTTTAGCCAAACAAGTCGTCAAAAAACAAAACCACTCAACAACATTTTATTATTTTATATATTTTAAATGAACAAAATGAAGTTTAAAAAGCAGTATATTGCTTGTGGAACCATGGAGAAACTGATACCTGTAGTGCTGATAGACTGATTAATTTATTTAACATTTTTGGGAAAAGATATAAAAATGGTTGTTCCTTGGAATTTATACTTAAGAAACATTATGAAAGAAGAAAAGCCTCATTCTACAAATATACTCTTCATAACAGCAGTGACAAATTGGGAAGACATGTTCAACAGTATGGAGGTAGTTTGATGAATTATGTGATCAAACAATTTAATGATACTTTGATTATCATTAACATGAAGACAGTGTTAAAATAGGAGAAAATGTCAGAAGAATACCATGTCATTGAATCTAAGATTGCATCATTTGTAAGATACCTTTGTTTTATCAGCTGTCAAGAAGGAAACATCCTAGCAGTTAAAATATGATACAGTGTCAGATGATACACATAAATTGTTCACACCAAAAAATATATTGCTTGGGATGAGAAAATAGCAATAGACAATCTTTTCAGATGTTATTTCGGTAACAGAAGATAACACAGCTGTATTTATTTGCGGAAATCTTCTTTTCTTAGGTCTTCTAAATCTCTTAATTTTTTTTTATTTTAAAGATTTTTATTTATTTATTTAACACAGATAGAGAGCACAAGTAGGTAGAGCGGCAGGCAGAGGGAAAGGGAGAAGCAGGCTCTCCGCCAAGCAGGGAGCCCGATGTGGGGCTTGATCCCAGGACCCTGGGATCACGACCTGAGCCGGAGGCAGCTGCTTAACCGACTGAGCCACCCAGGCGCCCCTAAAGCTTTTTTAATCCCCTGAAGAAAAATAGGGAATTGCAATCATTCTTCCATCAGTGAATTTTTGCTTCACTGATAATATATACCTCACTGCTCTATTCCTTGCCTTTCTACATAAAAATAGAACCTTTTGTATTAATAACCTTTTATAGAAACATTTGAAATGGCAGTGAAACTAGCCACGAATAGCACAATGTACAGGTGCAGTTGGAACAACACCACGGTAGCCATGCGTAGGCTCACGTGGGAGCAGGCAGTGACGTCTGCCGCACAGGTGCTCCCTGGCTGCCAGTGATGGTGAGACGCAGCGTGACTTCAGAGATGTGACAATGTGAAAATGTATGAGTCTTAAATGTAAAAAGTTTTGCCCTTTAAGTTAGTAATATTTAAAATATGTGCTAATAGGGCACCTGGCTGGCTCAGTCAGTAGAGCATGCAACTCTTGGTCTCGGGGCCATGAGTTCGAGCCCCACGTTAAAAAAAAAAATGTGGGGCACTGGGTGGCTCAGTCAGTTAAGGGTCTGCCTTTGGCTCAGGTCATGATCCCGGGGTCCTGGGATCGAGCCCCGCATCGGGCTCCCTGCTCAGCGGGGAGCCTGCTTCTCCCTCTCCCTCTGCCTGCCACTCTGCCTACTTGTGCTCCCTCTCTCTCTCTCTGTCAAATAAATAAATAGAATCTTTAAAAAAAAATGTGCTAGTTCATAGAAACAGATTATTTTTATTCTTTCAGTATGAAGTAAAAGTTGATATAACAACACCTCTGATAAAAGTGCAACTTGCTAAAAATGTAAATCGAAGAGATTCTATTCTTTAACAACATAGATAAGTAAATATGGGGAGAAACAAATTTCCATAATGTATATATAAAATGTTATTGTAAGTAGATTATGCCATTTCTATTTTAGGAAACCCAAGGAAACATATAACATCTTTGAAGAAAGCTGTAGATATGACCTGTCATGGAGAACCATCCCTCTATAACTCCTTAAGCATGGCTATGCAAACTCTAAAGTTGGTATTTTACATTTTTTATTTATAATTGGTGTCCATTTTTTTTGAATGGAGATGAACACATATCAATATGTTTCTCCATAACCGAGCTGCAATGAAACCGTTAAGAGAAATATGTAATGTCGTTTATGATGTTTAGTGTGTTGTCGTTTGTAATTTTTATTTTACGTTTGAGTTGGTAAGATAGATTCTTAGAGGTTTTAGAAAAATATAATTAAGACTGTAGCGATATTAGTACAAAATAAAATGTTGATGAAAAAATATTTTGTTAAAAATTAGATTGTATGTGAAATTGAATGTGCATAATAACTGAGTTTTTTGCGCATTTATTGACTTCTCTTAACTTTGTAGCACATCTGCAAATTAACAGCATACTCTTCCAGCAAGTTCAGATATGTGGAAGGTAGCTAAGACCCTAATGGAAATTTTCCATTAGTGCTAGCGCATATATTTTGTCCCTGGATAGTCTGTCCTGACTTTTATAGCTTTATATAACAGATATTTTTCTAGTTTTGAAGTAGGTGAGAAGGAGCTAACACCCACATTAGAGGTAGGCACAAGAGCAGCACCCACAAATGAAACCTGAGGGCCCAGCAATGCAGATAGAAGCAGGAAAGCTATAAAGAGCTGATAAAATTGCATAGATTAAGATTGCATAGAAATCTATTTACGTAGATTTAGATAGGGGAAAATAGTTCATCATGTCTTAAAGTCCTATAAATTATCATCTAATTAAATGATAGACAAAAATTAATGTTTATGAATATTATCACTCTGAATCACCATGAGGTTAAATTATAGCCTTTAAAAAAGAAGCATGTTACTATCATCAAGACACACCTTAAAGTTGATCCATATGGGCTGGAAGCCGGAGTCGTCCGCGAAATCTCAGAACCGAATTCCGGCCGGTCGTTCCCCGGGAGGTCTTGGGTGGGCTCTGTGCGGGCCTGGGTGAAGATGGCTTGTGCCGCCACTCTGTCCCCGGCCGATCAGGACAGGTTCATTTGTATCTATCCTGCTTATTTGAATAACAAGAAGACCATCGCGGAGGGGAGGCGAATCCCCATAAGTAAGGCTGTTGAAAATCCTACAGCTATTGAGATTCAAGATGTGTGCTCAGCTTTTGGACTTAATATTCCTTGAGGTAAGTCAGTAATGTTGTATGTAGCAGAAATGATACCCAAACTAAAAACAAGGACACAAAAAACAGGAGGTGGTGACCAAAGTCTTCAGCAAGGAGAGGGACGTAAAAAAGGGAAAGGAAAGAAGAAGTGACCGGATGTGAGAGTCAATCAAGTCTGGTACTACTGTGATAGACAGAGAATGAAGGCTTTTAATTTATATCTCAGTGAAACGGAAGCTTATTATTTGCATCATTTAACCGAACTATGGACATCTCTGCCTCCCAGCTTCAGCATCAGAGTTGACAGTGAAGTAAATATACCTCAGAAGTTTGCATCTAGCTTTTATGTAGTATAAAAGAAAATTTTTTTGCCTTTCAACACAGAGTTTTTGTGGAAGAAAGAAGCATATTTTTAAATGGACAGTGGACTCTATCATAAGTTACTTGAAATCCTCTATCTGTCCTGTGTGTAAACATGTTTCAGATAAATGAGTTTAATTAAAGATTTGAAATACACATTTTCTTCAGCATTTAAGTTAATGAAATAAAAAAAAAAGTTGATCCATATGGTATTGTCATACTTTCCAGTGTACACGTTAGACTTTGTACAAAACGAATCTACTAGGTTGTAAGCTTCATGATGTCAGGAACCTCTTTCATTCTTGCTTATTACTCTATTCCTAGAACCTAAAAGAGTATTCAGCAAATATTTATGGAAACAATAAATGAATCAGTTTTTTGTGTAGCTAATTTTAGAAAAATTTAACATGTTTAGAGTATACTCAATTCATTCCTTTGCAATGTTAAAACAAATGAGATATTCTATAGTCTAAATATATAAACCACATGTACTATTTTGTCTGGGTAAATTTTTTATTAATTTGTTATACCTAATGGGAATATATTTTATCTTTCTGTAGACACATGCCTGGACATACAAGTAGAGAAGTCCTAATCATCTTTAGCAGCCTCACAACTTGTGATCCGTCTAATATCTATGATCTAATCAAGGTAGAACCACTACCTTTCCTTGTAATCAAAACCAGAGTTATAACTCTAAAGAGAATTCTATAGTGAATTTATTACTAGTTTTCAGAAAATTCTGTTTTTCAAACATACTAATTTTTGCATGTTTTTTTCCTTCCCCTGAAACCCTTTATTTACGTGGATTTTATGAAGACCCTAAAGGCAGCTAAAATTAGAGTGTCTGTTATCGGATTATCTGCAGAGGTTCGGGTTTGCACTGTACTTGCTCGTGAAACTGGTGGTATATATCTAGATTCCTCAGTATTTATTCATAATTACTCTGTAAGAAGTAACTATTAATTAGTATGTTTTCATCTGTTTTTACAGTACTAAATTTAAATCACTTCATGTCCTGAAATCCATAATATCTTAAATGTATCATTGATTCTATAAGGTACCTCAAAATGCAGGGACTTTTCAGTAGTTATGCCAGTGTTGAGAGGAAGTGTTAATAACTCTTGAAATGCTGGAAATTTCACTAATATGTAATACTTTGTAAAGATCTTACAACTTGGCTTTAATTAAATTATAATTATAGTTATTCCCAGAGAAGTCAATTTAGAGATGTCATTTAAATGAGGTTTTTGAAAAATGATAATTTAACTTAAATACTTATTTTGAAAATGTACATTTTCAGATGGTAAAACTTTTACAGAATTACATAGGAATTACAATTTAGGGGCTCCTGACTAACTCAGTTGATAGAATGTGTGACTCTTGATCTCGGGGTTGTGAGTTTGAGCCTGGGTGTAGAGATTACTTAGAATAAAATTAAAAAAAAAGAAAAGAAATTACAATTGATACTTATATCTGAAAGCTGATTTTTCTTTTACTTTTTGTCTAATTAGGCACATACCATGTTATTTTAGATGAAAGCCATTATAAAGAATTGCTGACACATCATGTCAGTCCTCCGCCTGCTAGCTCAAGTTCTGAATGTTCACTTATTCGCATGGGTAAGTGTTTATTTTGTGTTATTTTGAAGTGGATATTTAGGAGCATGTGGGTGACTCGGTTAAGTGTATGCCTTCGGCTCATGTCATGATCTTGGGGTCTTGGGATCCAGCCCCGCATCGGGCTTCCCTGCTCGGTGGGGAGTCTGCTTCTCTCTCTCCCTCTGCCGTTCCTGCTCTTGCTCTTTCTGTCTCTCTCTCAAATAAGTAAAACCTTTAAAAAATAATAAAAGTAAAATAAAATAGATATTTATTTATTTTTAAAGATTTATTTGAGGGGTGCCTGCGTGGCTCCGTCGTTAAGCGTCTGCCTTCGGCTCGGGTTGTGATCCCAGGGTCCTGGGATCGAGCCCCGTATTGGGCTCCCTGCTCAGCGGGAAGCCTGCTTCTCCCTCTCCCACTCCCCCTGCTTGTGTTCCCTCTTTCGCTGTGTCTCTCTCTATTAAATAAATAAATAAAATCTTTAAAAAAAAAAAGATTTATTTGAGAGAGGGAGTGTGCGCACCAAGCTTAGGGAGGAACAGAGAGAGATAGAGAGAGAATCTCAAGCAGACTCCATGCTGAGCATGGAGCCCTGTGTGGGTCTCGATCTCATGACCCTGAGATCATGACCTGAGCCGAAATCAAGAGTTGCATGCTTAACCAACTGAGGCATCCACACACCCCTACTTATTTGTTTTGATATATAGATAGACTTAAAATTTTTATGTAGTGAAATTTTTTTTTTTTTATTGTTTCTGCTTTTCTTGGACGTGTTGTCAGAATTTGAAAAATATGTATGGAAAACAAACTGCATGGGTTTAGGCATTCCAAAATTTTAAGCATAGAAGTATATTCTTTTTTTTTTTTTTTAAAGATTTTATTTATTTATTTGAGAGAGAGAGAATGAGAGATAGAGAGCACGAGAGGGAAGAGGGTCAGAGGGAGAAGCAGACTCCCCGCTGAGCAGGGAGCCCGATGTGGGACTCGATCCCGGGACTCCAGGATCATGACCTGAGCCGAAGGCAGTCGCTTAACCAACTGAGCCACCCAGGCGCCCAGCATAGAAGTATATTCTTATATAAAATGAAAGTGGACAGCTATGTAATAGACTACCCCAGTGTATCAGAGTATTTAAAAATTAGAAACATTTTATTTTTATTTTTATTTTATTTATTTATTTATTTATTTTTAAGATTTTATTTATTCATGAGAGACACAGAGAGAGAGAGAGTGAGAGAGAGGCAGAGGGAGAAGCAGGCTCCCAAGGAGCAGGGAGCCCGATGCGGGACTCCATCCCAGGACCCTGGGATCATGACCTGAGCTGAAGGCAGACGCTTAACCATCTGAGCCACCCAGGCGCCCGAAACATTTTATTTTTAAAAAGCAGTGTGTGTTCTATTAAATTAGATAGTTATAGACTTAAGAATCTGCAACCATATGTATGGACAGATCTTTCCCCCACATTCTCCACTTTTAATTTTTCTCATAACCTGGAATTATAGTCAGCCTGACCATACTGTAGTAAACAAATCTGAAAGGCAGGAGAGAGAACTTTTGTACAACTTTGTGGGCTTTCTGGTAGGAACGTTTTTAGGTTCCTAATCCTACAATTTTGCTATTTGCTTGAAAAAAGAAAGTAAGGCAGGAGAGAGAACTTTTGTACAACTTTGTGGGCTTTCTGGTAGGAACGTTTTTAGGTTCCTAATCCTACAATTTTGCTATTTGCTTGAAAAAAGAAAGTAATACGTTTTCTTCTATGAAGGATTTCCCCAGCATACCATTGCTTCTCTGTCTGATCAAGATGCAAAACCCTCTTTCAGCATGGCGTAAGTAAAAACCTTGAAACTCTCAGTGATTATGTTTGACATTTTTAATTCTTTTCTGTATGTTATGAATTAAAAAATATAAACTGAGTTATATGGGCTGGGGTGTAATGGCTTTTGTATAAAGGTTACCTTCTATATAGCTGTAACAAGGAGTGAGGACTATCTCTGTTTACTCCTGTGTAGTAATCCTCAGGGTCTGTTACTAAGTAAAACAGCAAGGTAGAGAAAAGTGTATTGTATGCTGCCACTCATGTAAGAAGAGGGTGGAGATTTGACTGGGTATACATACTTGTTTATATTAATGATAAAAACAGTAATGGAAATAAAAAGTAAAAACTGAAAAAATGTTTACTTGGGCAGTATGTGGAGAAAGGCAAAGGGATGGCCCCTAGACCTTTCTGAACATATCTTGCTTAACTTTAGAGCTTTATAGTTTACATAATTATAAAACAAAATTAAAGTAATTCTTAAAAATCACAAATAAGAGTTGTGTCTCCAGCTATAAAGGTACCATAGGGACTGAATGTACTGTCCTCCCTCTTACCAGAAAACCAGACAAAATATATGAAACAATGATTTTCAGATGTGGACAACAGGCAGTGCAAGTAATGATCCCTGAAGGCAGGGAAACAAATGAGGTGGGCCCTGTGAGTGCAGCTTACTGCCTTGAGAGAATTTCCAGGCTGCAGTGTAGGGAGGGAAAAACCCAGCCAGAGCCTGGAGGTCTTGCTCAGGTGAAGAAACCAAGTTCAGAGTTTGGGGAGGCTGAAATGGCTGTAGTTTTCCAGGCACAGTGCTAGAAAGTAAAGAGCTGTACAGAAAGCTCTCGAGATTGCAGAGACTTCCCCAGGAGTCATCAGCTGAGTTACGATCATCACATTCGTGTGGGAGCTACTAGAGACCAAGGAAAGAACCCCTGAATAGGAGCAGGCAGCATATCCCTGGAGCTCACATGGGGCAGGGAACAGTTCATGGTCCTACCAGTCAGTGTGGAGGGATATCTTAACAGTGGGCATTGAACAGAGTCCACAGTAATGGAACCAAATTAACCCTAGACTAACAGCTCTTCTGGATAGCCTAATGAACTCTAAAGCAAGTTTTTGAACAGATCAAACTATTTCCAAGTTACTTAACTATATTCTAGAAGAACCCCAAACATATTTAAGGGCATACCAAAAAATCCAGCACCTAAAACAAAAATTCATAATGTCTGGCAGCCAATCAAAAATGACCAGGCATGCAACGAAGTAGGAAAATATGACCCATAATAAGGAGAGAATCATAGAACAGAAACATACTCAGAAACAACACAGTTGATGGAATTAGTAGGCAAAGTAGTAAAACAGCTATTACAAAAAAAGCCCAAATCAAAGTTCTAGAAACAAATATAATGTCTGAAATGAAAAATATACTGGATGGGACTAACAGCAGATGAGTCCCTGAAGAAGAAAAGATGAGTGAATTTAAGGACATTAGTGCAGTTTGGGCCCCTGGCTGGCTCAGTATGGAGAGCATGCAACTCTTTATCTCAGGGTTGTGAGTTTGGGCCCCACACTGGGTGTGAGATTACTTAAAAAAAAAAAAAAGCATTAATACACACTATTCAAATCAGAAATGCAGAGAGAAAAGAAGAATGAACCCCGCTTAAATGAACTATGAAACAACTTCAAGATTTTAAAATCAAGGTAGCATATTTTGTTTTGCTATAACCATTCCCATTATATATCACTTTAAAAGTACTGTTTCCTCCCACAGGCACTTGGATAGCAACACTGAGCCAGGACTTACATTAGGAGGGTATTTCTGCCCACAGTGTCGGGCAAAGTACTGTGAGCTTCCAGTTGAATGTAAAATCTGTGGTGAGAAACCAACTGTTCTTTATCTAGTAAATTAATCTTGAATAACTTCTTACCTATATTGCTAATAAAGTAAATGTAAATATTAAGCTCTGCCTATTATTTCTGAATTTAATCCGTGAGAATAGAAAAGCATTATTTTTTTTATTGAGTACCCGGTACTCCATTTCTAGAATAAACATGGCATTCTAGAACAGTTTTCTGATTCTCCCTCTGAAATGAGTATGTTCTTTAAAGGCTTTGCAGTAGATCTAGTAGACATTTTTGTAGCTCTTAACCTTCACAAAATATGTATAAGGACAATGAGGAATTAAAGTGATAGAATTGTAGAATTTTGTTTCATTTTTAAGTAAGCAAATGGCCAAGAGAGGTCACACAATTAGTGAAAGAAGTAAGACTCCATCCTCGAATCTCCTTTTTAAGGCGATATGTAAATGAAGAAATCAATACCAGCAGTCCTAAAAAAAACCTTGAAAATATTTAGCCTATTATTTGACATGTCAGCTATTCTCTTCATGAGGTTTGGGCTATTAAACATGATTCTCTGCTTTATTTGTTAGGTCTTACTTTGGTGTCTGCTCCGCATTTGGCACGGTCTTACCATCATTTATTTCCTTTGGATGCTTTTCGAGAACTTCCTCTAGAAGAATATAATGGAGAAAAGTATATGAGTTTTTATTAATTTATATCTGTTATATGTGGTAGAATAATGTTTGAATGTGTTGTTACATTAAAAAAGAGTCACATTAACTTGGGCAAGATTACTTCTAATTTGGAAAATGAGATGGTAGAATGCCTTGGTTGTGACTGAAGTGACTCATTATTAAACAGATCTGGATCTCCAGAAATCTATTAATTTCCCTAAGCCCATCTCTGTATAGTAAGTGTAGTCAAATACTGATAAATTAGCTCTCTAAAACAACAAAACAGTCCTGGTTTGCAACCTTATCTGATTTCTGTGGTGTAAGACCAGAGGATTTATCCGGAAGGTTTAGTATTAGAATAGTTAGAGAAACAGAGAAAAGATCAAATAAAGAGTAGGTAAGAAATAGTTAAGGATATTGTCTACTATTGAAGGATAGAACTTTATAGATTGAAAGGAACTGTCAGGTGTCTAACATAGGGAAAATAGACCCACACTAAAGTGTATCATTGTGAAATTTTAGAATAGGCAGCAAAAAACTAAACATTTCTGGAGAGGGAAAATTAGGTCACATGATCTGGAATTAAAATTGTTTTGTGTCTCAGCAATACTGGCTACTGCCAGGAAGTGATTTCCTTCGGTTGTTACCAACTTAGAATACATACCTAGCAAACCTATCAGTTAGGTCAATGAAGACATTTTTAGACTTAACGAGGCCTCAAAAAGAGACTCTGGGGAAGCTGTGGAAGAGATGATTCAAAGGACCTGAAAAAGAGAATGACTGGAAGAGAATGGGATATTGATCTAGTTCAAACGTGGCTTAAGAAAGCCCTAGGCTGATGATAAGGGGAGATTCCAGAATAACACTTTTGTGTCAGATGTGGAGAATAGTCCAGTTTGGTGAAGGTCAGAATGCTGCAGGAGAGAGGTCACCAAGAGGGCGAAAACTAGAATTCTTGATGTGGGTGACCGTAGAGACGACATTTAGAATTCTCAGGGAAAGGTTAGACTTGAGTTGGGGTAATTATATAGAAAACTAAGCTTGTGGACAACAGTATAGTTATCAACTCCAGGAAAAAAATATTTTGAAGAGAGGAAGAATTGTATTACATGGCTCAGCTGAATATGTTTATATAGTCATAATAAACTAAACATTTAATACTCTATTCAAAATGATTTTAGTACAGAGAAAGAATTGAGAATGGCATTAGTTATGTGTGTGTACATGCTGTTGGATCAAGAGGGTTGAAAGAGAAGTAAATTCTGATCTTCCTTAGTTGGAGGTTTATAGCCAATGCCAGAAAAACACAAGAAATAGCACTGTAGCAGTTAAAAGTTTTGAAAGTGTTTGGGGAGCTGGAAATGAAGTGGGGTTGGTAAGGAGAGGGCCACTATTTTTTGTAGTAAGTCTTGAGAACTTTTAACTCTTTAAACCATTCCTTGAAAATTAAGCCTTTAGGTATCCACACATAAATTAACTTCTGTCCATCTGGAGTTATACCAGCTACCTGCTATTCTCAGGAGAGTTGCAGAATAGTCACTCAGATTATTTTCTGTAGGGCTTAATTCCCTCACAGAATCCCAGTAGGGAAATCATGCTCCTATTTAACCTTGATGAAAATAAAATTTAAAAAAATTTTAAAGTAGGATTTTGCTTTGTGAGATGATCTTGGGATATACTGTAGAATTTTCTTAAGTTATTGGTATTGTTAATTCTGTTTTTCTCATAAAAGTCATGTGTGAAGATAATTACTTATTAATTACAGGATTCTTGTTATTGAGATTTTGCCGAGCTATTTTAAGGAGTGAATTCCTAACAAAATGATTCTTAAACTTTCTTTTTCAGATTTTGTTATGGATGTCAGGGGGAATTGAAAGACCAACATGTAAGTTCATGTGCTTTCTAAATATTAAGTATTGGGACACCTGGGTGGCTTTGGTTAAGCTTTGGTTAAGCATCTGCCTTCAGCTCAGGTCATGATCCCATCGAGTCCCATATCGTGCTCCCTGCTCAGCAGAAAGCCTGCTTCTCCCTCTCCCTCTGCCTCTCCCCCTGCTTGTGCACTCTCTCCTGACAAATAAATAAGTAAAATATTTTACCAAAAAAAAAAAAAATACTAAGTATTATATAAGAAATATTGAGGAAATAGCATTAGAAGTTTTCAGTACATTACTGAAAATCAGGCTCATATCAGGTTATTCCTCAGAAGTATGGTAACAGTAGGTAGAGATAAAATGGAAGCAAAATGGTTTAAATAGTCTTTTTTATAATTCTGCATTTTAATTTTTCTATAACAGTATTTTGGTATTTAAACTGTCTTTAGTTGGTGCCAGGGTGGCTCAGTCAGTTAAGCGTCTGCCTTCGGCTCAGGTCATGATCCCAGAGTGCTGGGATCAAGCCCCACATCGGGCTCCCTGCTTAGCAGGAAGTCTGCTTCTCCGTCTCCCTCTACCCCTCCCCCCCCACTCTCGTGCTCTCTCTCTCTCAAATAAATAAAACCTTTAAAAAAAAAAACCTGGGCCACCTGGGTATCTCAGTTGTTAAGCGTCTGCCTTCGGCTCAGGTCATGATCCCGGGGTCCTGGGATCGAGCCCAGCATCGGGCTCCCTGCTCCGCGGGAAGCCTGCTTCTCTCTCTTCTACTCCCCCTACTTGTGTTCCCTCTCTCGCTGTCTCTCTGTCAAATAAACAAAATCTTCAAACAAACCTCCCTTTAAAAAAAAAATTAAAATAAAAAAAAACCATACCCACTTACATTTTAAAAATAAATAAATAAACAAACAAACATACAAACAGTCTTTAGTTTGCAAGCTACCCTGCATTTAGTTTGGAAGTATTAGAAGTTTATTCTCCATATAGTACTTTAGGCACTGTCACAGTTCGTTCTGAAGTTCCCATTGAAGGTGGCCATAAGCCGAAGGCTGGTCCCCCATAGTCCCAATGAGAAAATATCTCTTAAATTAAAAAAAAAAAAATTTTTACTTATTTGACAGAGACAGTGAGAGAGGAAACATAAGCAGGGAGAACCGGAGAGGGAGAAGCAGGCTCCCTGCTGAGCAAGGACCCCCCCCCCCCGATGTGGGGCTCCATCCCAGGACCCTGGGATCATGACCTGAGCTGAAGGCAGATGCTTAACCCACTGAGCCACCCAGGTGTCCCTATCTTTTAAGTTTTAAATTTTTATGAATTTATGTGCCCATATTTAAAACTATGCTTTATGCACTGTATGAAATATTAGTTGGGAGGACTGCTTTCTTATTCTCTTCTCACAATTCATAAAACAATTTTATTAAGTTTTACATGCCTCTTGGACATCAGTAGCTTCATCCTCACTAGAGCCACCTTTGAATTACTTGACAGTTTGTTTTTTTAAAGATTTTATTTGTCAGAGAGAGAGTGCGTACACATGAGAGAGAGAGTGAGCACAGCAGGGGAAGTGGCAGGCAGATGGAGAAGCAGTCTCCCCACTGAGCCAGTACCCCAATGCAGGCTCGATCCTAGGACCCTGGGATCATGACCTGAGCTGAAGGTGGACGCTTAACCGACTGAGCCACCCAAGTGGCTCAGTGAGGCATCACCCAAGTGAGGCGTCCCTCACTTGACAGTTTTTAAGAACACATTGTCTTGGGGTGCCTGGGTGGCTCAGTTGTTAGGCGTCTGCCTTCAGCTCAGGTCGTGATCCCAGGGTCCTGGGATAGAGCCCCGCATCGGGCTCCCTGCTCCACGGGAAGCCTGCTTCTCCCTCTGCCTGCAGCTCCCCCTGCTTGTGCTTGCTCTCCCTACTCCTCATGTCAAATAAATAAATAAAATATTAAAAAAAAAAACCCACACATTTTTACTTCTTTGCTTTTTGAGATGTAATAATCTTTTAACCTGTGTATGCTGCTGCCTTGGAAATTTCATCCCAAGACATAAGTATCCATGTATGTAATACTGATAAAACAATGGATTTTTTTTTTTTGGTCTTAAATGTGTCTTTTTCCATATTCTTTAAGTTAAATAAAAGGAGAATATAATTTGTGCAGCTGTGAGGTCATTCCCTGGCAATAACTAAATCTGTGTTAAAGATTTATGTTTTTCTTTTTAATCAAATCAGAGGAATGAATGAGCATTTGAAACTGGTACTAATTTCAAGCTTATGTGTCTTCCCCAGATAATTACTTAAAACAAAGTAATTAAGAATGTTTTACAATACAAGAGATGTTAAGGTGTGAAAACAAAGTAATTTTCTCATTTGTAAGGGATAGTTTTTTTGGAAAAATAGTCACCTTAGATTTGAGAATAAGTAGTACATTGGAAGTAATAAAGTAGGTGAATGGGTGGGGAAAACTGATCAATAAGAGAGCAGAGCAACGTGAATGTCTTCTGGCTGTGCTGTACTTCTGGAAACTACTTTCTAAATTTTCTTTTCTTCTTTTCACTGCAGGTCTATGTTTGTGCTGTGTGCCAAAATGTTTTCTGTGTGGACTGTGATGTTTTTGTTCACGACTCTCTTCACTGTTGTCCTGGGTGCATTCATAAGATTCCAACTTCTTCGAGTATTTGATTCCAACATATAGTACACATTGTATGTGTTAAAAGGACATTTGCAACTGTTAATAACGTGATTCTTCAGAAGAAGCTCCAATTAAGATATGAAGACCAGTTTGAAAGGAAAATCTGATTGAAGAAACTTTTTGCTAAGAAAATGTAGGATTGGGGCACCTGGCTCAGTCATTTGGAAGAGCATGAGACTCTTGATGTCAGGGTTATGAGTTCGAGCCCCACGATGGATTGCTACAAGGTAAAATAAACTTAAAAAAAAGGGAGGGATGAGGGGGGAAGAAAAGAAAATGTAGCATTTTATTAAATTTTAAAATTTGTGTCCTGTCACAGAAATTGCCCAGGATTTAATAGTACTTCACTCGGTTAATTTTGTTTTCTATTATTTTGTTAAATGTTTTCAAAGTCATCACACTATTGTACTTAAGTTACTTATGATTAAATTGATGTGATAATTTCATTGCTTTATAATTAAAGTAAATACAGAATCTCTAATTTACTTTTATTCAGTTTTAGTGTAAATAGAAAATTAAGTATAAATGTGAATTCAGAGGCACCTGGGTGGCACAGCTGGTTAAGCATCTGCCTTTGGCTCAGGTCTTGATCCCAGGGTCCTGGGATGGAGTCCCACATCGGGCTCCCTGCTCAGCGGGGAATCTGCTTCTCCCTGTGCCTGCCGCTCCCCCACAAGCCAACTGCTTGTGCTCTCTGCTCTCTCTCGTGCTCTCTCTCAAATAAATATTAAAAAAAAAAAGCATAAGTAAATTTTATTGTAATGTTTAAGAAAGTACCTTGTATTGAGTGCCTCCTAAGTCCATACCAAGCATGCGGGTTGGGTACCACCTCATCTGTCATGTGCCAGGCAGGTTATGCATAGACAGGGGAAATCCCAGGAGAGATTTGGACACCTTAAAACTGAGGACCTGGCTGTCCACAGGATGGTGGCCCTGAAGAAATAAATGAGTCACCTGATAGTTAATTTGCTCATGTGAGGAGAGAACAGTGACTAGAATGGTCACCTTCCTGTTAGTATTGGAAGTGGGACTAACCTAGCTTCTTGACTCCCAGACCACTTGTTACTACAATACGACTAGAAAGGACCCTTATATTTGAAATAGAGGACTTTTTTTTAAAAGTTAACTTAAAAATTGCTTCACTTTTGTGGATAGGAATATGTTTTGTAAATGGTGTTCAATATACTCTTTTTTAAATTTCAAAATTTCCATTTTTTTAAAGTTTATTTACGTAAGTAATCTCTACACTCATTGTGGGGTCTGAACTCACAGCCCCGAGATCAAGAGGCAGGTGTCCCATTAATTTCCATTTTTAAGAAGTTGTGTTTTATTCAGCAGATGAAATACAAGTATCCCTGCTTCTTGAAAGTTTGCATTTAAGCCACTTCTATGGAAGACCTACATTGGTACCTGTTTTTTTTTTTAATTTTTTTATTGTTATGTTAATCACCATATATTACATCATTAGTTTTTGATGCAGTGTTCCATGATTCATTGTTTGTTCATAACACCCAGTGCTCCATGCAGAACGTGCCCTCCTCAATACCCATCACCAGGCTAACCCATCCCCCCACCCATTGGTACCTGTTTTATCTAATCTAAAGAAGTCTGGGAGCACCTGGGGGGTTCAGTGGTTAAGTGTCTGATTTCAGCTCAGGTCATGATCTCAGGGTCTTGAGATTGAGCCCTGAGTCAGGTTCTGTGCCGAGCTGAGCAGGGAATCTGCTTCTTTCTCTCTGTCTCTCTCTTTCTCTCCCCGCCCTTCCCCCAGCTTGTGTGCACTCTCTCAAATAAATAAATCTAAAAAAAGAAATCCGGAGAGGATTTTCACTTTTATAAAAAAAGACAAAAAGCAAAAATAGTGCTCAGCATTTGGTTTGCAGCAAGCCCTTCTAGTGCAGTGCCCCTCTTGGGGCCATGAGAGTGGCGCCACCAGGCTCCTTCCTGGGAACTACACTCAGCATCTCAGCGTCTCAGCATCAAGCCGCTGCGGCTTTGAGCTGTCTGTGAGCATTGGTGCTTAATCTTCATTCATCTTGTGCATTAGTTAGCAAGATGTGTCCTAAGTATCAGAAAAACCTAATGGAGGTTATCTTTGGCATCTGGGAAAGCTCAAAAAGTTTTCCATATTAATTAATGATAATAGCTTCTTTGCTTTATGCTATTTGGTTTATGAAAATGGGAATGCTCTACTTTTGAGTAGCAGAGGAAACCTGTATAGTACTTTTTTATATAATTTCCTTTACTCCCAGTAACTTATGTGTAACTGATGTAGGAAAGATGTTGGGGTTCAGAGCTGATGACCAAGAAAGAATTCTTGAGATGTCTTTGGTGCAGAAAGGTGTTTTTATTAGAGCATGGGGGCAGGACCTGTGGGCAGAAGGAGCTGCACTGGGGTCACGAGGAGTGGCCCATTATATACTTTCAAGTTGGGAGGGGGTTAGGGATAGTGTAGGCATCCCAGGTATTTTGGAAATAAATAAATAAAATCTTAAAAAAAACCCAAAAACGTTTCCAGGACATTGAGGGGGCTAGCTATTGTTAGGAAAAGGTCATTTATTACTATTGAGTAAAAACTCCATCCTAAGACCCTTCAGATGTATATCAGTGGGTCATATTCTTGGGGGATGATTGCTAACATATATCTTAGGGGGGTAGAGATAAAGGTAGTTTCCAGAGGAATTTCTATATGTTCAAGTAGGCTTACAGGATCCAGGCTGGAGTGGGGAGGTTTGGGCTAAAATTGCCTTTGCCCTTAGCAAAGTATTAACATCGAGGCAGCTGAGTCCCTAGAGGAATGTCGCTCTACCTGTTTCAAGGACTTGACAGTGGGCTGTAGGTAGTAAGGAAATTTAATTTTTCTTTTTGCCTTAGTTTCTCACATCATAACCACAGGAACTGGATTTAGTAACCGTAGTTTAACAAATAAACAACACATCCAGCCTATGTATATCGGTAAGTCAGAATCTCTTTGATTGTATTCTATATTTGTTTCAAAGGAAAAGATAATCCGAAGATTGAATTTTTAAATTATTATACATGTTGTCACTAATAGAAGTAAGGAAGAATTCCCTCCCCCTCCCGCGTGTCTTCTTGGAGTAGCTTGGGGTTTTTAGGTTTCCTGTTTATCTTGTGTGCGCCGTGCCCTAACTATGAAGTTGTCTGTAACCTGAGCCACGGAAGGAGCTGTACGTACTGAGGAGCCACAGCTGCCCCTGCTGACTCAACACTGGAGTGTGCACATCTTGAGAAATAAACCAACAACTGAGTACACACTGGGGGAAGAAAAAGAAGGAAGAATTATATGAAAATAATGATGAGTCTCATAAGTGCTGAGGTAAAATTTGACAGTTTATTGAAACATGATAAATTTCATCATTTTTAGATGTACAATCCAGTAAGTTTTAACAAATGTTTATTGTGTAATCATCACCACAATAAAAGATGTAAGACCTCTCTACGTAGCACTGAGGTAAATTTTAATTATGATTTACTAATTACAGATCTGAATTTCTTCAAAGGAAGAAATCCTTAGAGGAAATTGCACAGTATATTCAAAGCTATGAGGGATTTGTTGGTGTCGTGTTAATTTATAACAGCAAATGCTTTCTCAGGTTGGCTTTTGATGACGTGCTAATGATGAGGGAGCAGAAGGCTAGCTGAAGAGAAAGCAGAAGCTGACACCCTGCAACCTCCCCCCACCCCCACTCCTGGATGGGACGTGCTTGACTTTCTTCCAGGAATCTCCCAACTATCTTAACTGTTAATGCCTTGCTAGAGGGGGAAATAACCTGAACTTGACAATGGCAAGGCCCCCAGTATCTTATAGGTCGGTCCTCTCAAGCATATGAAAGTTCTCTTGAAACCTCCCTTTTCCTTACTTCCCCAACTCCCGAGTATATCAGCCACCCCTCACAGCCCCGGTGCAGCAGCTCTGTCTGCCCACAGGTCCTGTTCCCATGCTTTCATAAACCCCCATTCTGCACCAAAGACGTCTCAAGAATTCTTTCTTGGTCGTCAGCTCTGGACTCCACCCCACCGAACCTTACCTATATTCCCAGACCACATCACTAATATCTGAATTACAAGGGGGGTGGCATTCTTATTTGGCCTGGGCTCTATTTGTTTCATCTTCCCTTCTTTGATTTCTTCTACCTCTCTTTTGGCAGAGTGAAGAAAATCACACTGTTGCAGGATTGCAGGGTTCTTGTCTCACCGAGTCGAAGAATCAATCTCAAGGACAATGATATAGGAAAGAACCTTAGGGTTCGAAGCCCACGGCCAGAATTCTTGAGACGTCTTTGGTGTGAAAAGGTGATTTTATTAAAGCACAGGGACAGTACCCATGGGGTTATGAGGGGTGGTGATTATGTATCTTCAAGTTGGGAGGGGGTTAGGGATAGTGTAAGCCTCCCAGGTATTTCGGTAACAAGGTTTCCAGATCCTGAGGGGGCTAGCTATTATGAAAGGTCATTTATTACTGTTTAGTAGAAATTCAGTCATGAGACCCTTCAGATGTATATCGGTGGGTCATATGCTTCGGCGGGGGTGGTGGTGATTGCCAACCCGTATCTTAGGGGGTTTGGAGATAAAGGAAATTTCTAATGGAATTTGTATATATTAAAGTAAGCTTACAGGATGGGGGGGTCAGAGGGGGCATTTTGGGCTAGGATTGTTTTTTGCCCTTGGCAAAGTGTCAACATCGAGGCAGCTGAGTCCCTAGTGGAATGTCACTCTGCCTGTTTCAAGGACTTGTCAGTGGGCTGTAGGCAGTAAGGAAACTCAGTAATTTTTCTTCTGCCTTGGTTTCCCACATCAGACACAAAAGGGTGAAGTGAAGTGAAAGTTTATTAAGTGAAGGTGAGAACAGAAAGGAAAAGAAAAAGCTCTCTAGAGGGAGAGTTGCCACTGAGGGCTTTCACGGGCAGCCTTTTATTGAAAACTGACCAGGGAACTTAAATCTTCTTGACGTCTCTACCACTTCATAGAACCCTGTTTACTTTTCTTTGAAGTTTGGTAATTTTTAGTGGTCCACGCTGTCACTGTCCTAGGGATATCTCGTCTCTGACATTAAAGACGTAACGAGATGGTCTCTGATGAGGTAGCAGAGGGCAAGCGAAGGGCAAGCATAAGCTGACACCTTGCAACCTGCCCCCCTCCCCCAAGTCCCAGGTGGGCTATGTGTGGCATTCCTCAGGCACTCCTGTCTGCTCTCAAGCTAAGGGAAGGGAAAACAAATGGTTAACTAACAGAGATCACAGTCTCCCTCAGTTTACAAAATGTCTTAGTGATTTACAAGAAAAAAGCATTTTTGTCAATAACCTAACTTCCAGAAGGAAACTCCCAACTGTCTTAATGTTAATGCTTTACTAGAGGGAAAAACAACCTAAACTTGACAATGGCGAGGCCTCCAGTATCTTGTAGGTCCTCTTTAGCATATGAAAGTTCTTTTGAAAACCTGCCTTTTCCTTACTTCCCCCAACTCCGTGAGTATATCATCAGTGACCCCTCACAACCCCAGAGCAGGAGCTCTTTCTGTCCACAGGTCTTGTCCCCTGTGCTTTAATAGCCCCCTCCCTTTGTTTTTTAGAGATTTTATTTATGAGAGGGAGAGCGCGCGAGCGCAAGCCCAAGCAAGGGGAGGGGCAGAGCGAGAGGGAGAAGCAGGCTCCCTGCGGGACTCAGGGCTGGATCCTAGCACCCTGGGACAACCCGAGCCAAAAGCAGGCGCCCAATCGACTGAGCCACCCAGGCGCCCCTAAAACCACCTTTTTTGCACCCAAGATGTCTCAAGAGCGTTTCTTGGCCGTCAGCGCCGCACCTCACCCCACCAAACCTCACCTACATTCAAAAATTACATCAGTCTCCTCATGTTCCTTTATCTCTGGTTTTGTATGCCTCAGCATTTCTCCGCATTTGGGATTTCTGTGAGCCCGGTCACGTTAGTCCCCTGCGCGAGCCTAGCTGGGGGAGTCAGGGGCCTCCCATCTCTCCTGGTAGACCTTTGATGTGGGAGCAGAAGGCCAGCCGAAGACAAAGCACAAGCTGACACCCAGCAACCTCCCCCCACCCCCAGTCGTGGGTGGGACATGTGTGACATTCTTCCAGGATCTCCCCACTATTTTAATCTTAATGCCTTGCTAGAGGGAAGAACGACCTTGACAATGGCAAGGCCCCCAGTATCTTATAGGTCGGTCCTCTCAAGCATATGAAAGTTCTTTTGAAACCTCCCTTTTCCTTACTTCCCCAACTCCCGAGTATATCAGCCACCCCTCACAGCCCCGGTGCAGCAGCTCTGTCTGCCCACAGGTCCTGTTCCCATGCTTTCATAAACCCCCATTCTGCACCAAAGACGTCTCAAGAATTCTTTCTTGGTCGTCAGCTCTGGACTCCACCCCACCGAACATCACCTACATCCCCTCCCTACTCACGGGACAGGACCTGTGGGCAAAAAGAGCTCTACTGGGATTGTGAGGCGTGACTGAGGGTATCCTTAATTAGTGGGGGTTAGGGAGAGTGCAAGTCTCCAAGGAATCTGGAAGGAAGGCTTTCAGGACCTCGAGGGGCCGCTGCTGCCAAGATGAAGGTTACTTTTAAACATTAAGGTGCTGAGGCGGCCATGGGTTCCTTGAGGAAGGTCACACTCTGCGGGTTTCAGGTACCTCTCGGTGGGCTGCAAGCTGTAAGGAGATTTTAATTCAAGCTGCATTTCTTTTGCCTTTGTTTCCCACATGGACATTGTCTTGCTGAACTAGAGCCAATGTTCCCTCTTTGAGGCCACTTCCCCTAGCTGTCCTTGGCTGCCCCCACCTCAAGGCCAGCGTAAGACATTCAAATCAGGCACCAGCACCCCCAGCCAGCCTCACAGCTGCTGCTGCCTGCCGAGTTACTTTATACTCTTATTAGTAAGGAGTCCCTAGTGGCAAGTGACAGAAAACCCATCCCGAATTGGCTGAAGCAAAAAGAGAACTGATTGGCTAGGAGCACTCAGAATATGAGAACCCTGGGGCGCCTGGGCGGCTCAGTTGTTCGGCGTCTGCGTCTGCCTTCGGCTCAGGTCATGGTCCCGGGGTCCTGGGATTGAGCCCCGCGTCGGGCTCCCAGCTCCGCGGGAAGCCTGCTGCTCCCCCTGCTTGTTCTCTCTCTGTGTCAAATAAATAAAATCTTCAAAAAAAAAAAAAAAAAGAGAACCCTGAAAAGAATATGACCTGAAAGTGGGAGAGGAGTGTTTGCTCAGAAAGAAATCTGGTGTTCCTACCAGGATCGCTTGGATCCTATCCACCCTTCTGAATCCATTTTCCTCCCTGTAGCTTACACTTCATTAGTCAAAGTGTATCTGTGAAATGTAAATATAATTCGGATTTTGAACTGGATCTGTGGAAGACATGACCCTGAGAAGGCTCCTTGTTGGCTCAAATAAACATTCACATGTTCTGGTTTTTTTTTTTTTTTGCAATGCATTAAAAAATTCCATTAATAGAAATGAAAATTAAAGGAATGATTGTCCAAATACCGTGCCCCTCAATCCGATGCAACTCTGTATTGGGGGTGGGGCAAGTTCTAGCAACTATTATTCATAGATCAGTGTATAAGTGAAACAGTTGATAACTTGAATTTTAATTTTTCTTCAGGAAGAACATTTTGTAAATTCCTGGGTTAGGAGTGAGTTACCTCTTACATCAGGTGTAAAGACTCCAGCATATTACAGAGGCTTCGCTTATTTCTTCCTTTGCCTTTTTTCTTTTTCATTCTTTCATTCTCATTTTACAGTGTCATAATCCATTTTAAAAAACCTATTTTCCTAAGAGATTTCTACTCTTCTGGAGGGGCTTTTTTTTTTTTTTTTTTTTTTTTTTAGCATAAATGAGCATAGGGAAATATGACATGGTTGGGTCGTTGACGGACAGTTTCCTTAAAACAATCAAAATTTGATTAAATAGTTTTAAATATGTTCTTAAAAGAAATCAGTGTTAAGTAATTGGGTGTGAGATAATAGAAAAATACATAGATTTCACTCCCCCACCCCCCTGATACCTAGCTCTGGATACCCTTGTGAATCCCTAAGTGGTAAGAGCACTAAGAGCACCTTTTGTTCTAATGAGGTGGGTGGCTCCTGGGTGCTCTGGGTGGGCTCCTGGGTGGGGGCTGGTTCCTAGAAAGGTTAAGCCATGATTAGAAGGTTGGAATTTTCAGTCCCACCTCCCATTCTCCAGAGAGAGGAGGGGGCTGGAAATGGAATTAATGATTCATCAAGCCAACCTGAGGAAGCCTCCATAAATATCCCAACAGTATAGTGTGCAGGGAGCTTCCAGGTGAGAGAACACATCCACAATGGGAGGGTGACACACCCAACTCCATGAGGATGGAAGATTCTGTACTCAGGATCCCCCGCCCCCCAGACTTGGCCTGAGTCTCTCTTCATCTGGCTGTTCCTCTGTATCATTTATCATACCTTCTAATAAACTGGTAAGTAAGTGTTTCCCTGAGTTCTGTGAACCACTCTAGCAAATGAAGTGGGCTAGGAGCAGTCTTGTGGGGGTGAGCTCTTAACCCTGGGGTCTGACACTGTCTCTGGGGTCTGACACTGTCTCTGGGGAGTGTTAGAACGGAGTTGAATTGTAGTACACCCAGCTGGTGTCAAGAGAATTGCTGCTGGGGGGCAGCGGTAGGACCCCCACACATCTGGTCTCAGCAGTGTTGTGAGTGTGGTAATTGTGTGAGAGTAAAGGAGACACAAGGGAAAAGACAGTACTACTCAATAATTAAAAATGAAGTGAATAGTGGGATCCTGGGGTTAAAGGTGGAACAGTGAAGCAAGCTTTCATCTTAAAGAAATGTCTAGAACTAAATTAACATTGTTTAGTTTTCAAGTCTTCACAGTGTACAGAAGAGAGGAATCCAACCCCAGGGCCAGCCCAAGGCGGGAAGCCTAAGGGAGACTACCTCAGAGAGTGGATACCCCAAAGGGCAAAACATGAACCTACCAGTTCTTAAGGGAGACAACAAGGAAAATTTGATTTTCTCAAATCTTGACATTACCTTGGGGAGAAAGGGAATCTCCTCTAGCATTGTCTTGTTTTATTCTGATGCTAGATGATGAAGAGATCATTTTCAAATATTTTATTATAGAAAAACTTGAACCCACACAGAAATAAGACCGTAGCATACAGCCACCACGTATCTACCACTGCTTCAACAAGTAACATGTGGTCTTGCTTCATCATAATCTTCCGTCTTTTCCAAGCCCTCCTCCAATCACATTGAAACAAATGCTCTACATCCACATTCCATGTGTACATACGAGGGATAATCTG